GGTCTGATGGTTTGAGAGTGTCGATGTTTCAATCCCAGTTATTCACTGCAGGTGGGATCCTACAGGATCTCTCTGCCTGGAGCTGCTGTGACCAGCCCTGTGCAACACCCATCCCTCCCAGGTTCCATCAAAATCCATAATCCAAGACCCAAAATCAAGGCTTACGATTCCTTTTCTTGAACGACATAAACCAATCTGTTTATTTAGGAAACAGGCCCCAGAAATCCCTGAAAATTCAGTGTTTTGCTCAAGATCCCAGCGCTCCTAGCAGGGATCTGAATCTCCTCCCTCTCATCTCAGCATTCCAGCCACAGAATCCTCATTCCTGCGTGGAAAATCAATTTGGAACAAGTGTTTTCAGGCTGCTCTTTGCACATCCCTGCACCGGGGAATCCCTTGGAGAAGCACCTGAGCCCTGCACGTGGAGTCAGTTCAAGGAAATAACAGTGTTATAACCAAGGAGCTGTTCCTGCTTTGCTCCACTGCTCCTTTTAGGACAAAAAACCAAGGTCTTGTGCCCTGGGATCCACCCCAGCTCCTGACTGTGCTCGCTCTGCTCCCTCTGAGCAGAGGATAAAAATAACAGCAAACCTCCCACTCACTTTTGGGAGCCAAGCCCTGCTCGTCATCCCCATCTTCCAGCCCTTGGAGAGGGAGGAGTGTGGAGGAGCCCAGTTTGCCCCAGGCTCTCAGCTCCTGGGTTGGATTCCTGGTGGGAAACCAGCCTTGGAAGTGCTGAAACTCTGGCCCTGACTCACGTGGCAGTTCAGCAATCCCAGGCTGCCAGTGGGGAAAGGGTTAAAAGGCACCTGTGCCTTGCTTTAAAAATTAAATCCTTGCTGTCCCACTGACTTCCAGGGGAAACAGCTGGACCCAAACCACAGATTTTTGGATCCTCAGTGTGTTCCTGAGATAACACAGCCTGCCATGGTGCTGAAATGGTGTTAACTCTGAGCCCAGTTTGCCCCAGGCTCTCAGCTCCTGGGTTGGATAAAACCCATTCCTGGTGGGAAACCAGCCTTGGAAGGGCTGAAACTCTGCCAGGGCAGCTCTCTGCTCACATGGCTGTTCAGCAATCCCACTCTGCCAGTGGGGAAAGGGTTAAAGGCACCCAGCTGGACCCAAACCACAGATTTTTTGATCCTTCCTGAGATAACACAGCCTGCCATGGTGCTGCAATGGTGTTAACTCCGAGCCCAGTGTGCTCCTGCCATGACTAAGGGACACTCCTAAAGCTCTCATTCCCATCCCTTCATCCAACATCCTGCTGTGTCAGCTGCAGGCAGTGCTTGCTGCCAGCCCCACTCATCCCTGAGTGAGGGATAAATACCTGGGAAGTGCTCCATGAGGTGCTGCCAGCTCAGCCTCCTGCAGGGATTGTCATTCCCACGCTCTCCTGGGATGCAGCTCCGGGAAAGTTTAGTCCAAACCTGCATCTCCACTGGCTGTTTGTCTTCTAGAACCACCCATGGAGCTCAGCAGGAATCCACTGGAGAACAATGCTGTGGAAGGACCCAGGAACCTTAATTTTAATCCTAAAACATAATTAATCCTAAAGCTTTGGTGATTTTAACACACTTCTCTTATTTAGCTCCTTGGACGGTGTGACCTGGAATAGAGGAATGTTGAATCCAAAGCCAGTTCTATCTGACTGCCCCTAAAATCAGTGAGATTTAGACAGTTCTCTGTCCCAAGAGAGTTCCAGGATGTCTTTCACCCATTTCTAAAGAAGGCACTTCCTGATACTGGCCTGAAAAAAAAAATAAATCCAGTTATTTATGAGTGTTGGTTTTGTGGAGAAACTGAACAAAGAAAAATAGTGTCTGCATCAAATGAGGGCTGGAATAAATGCTGAATGTTTGTCTCTCCCCCCCACCCCTCTTTTGTGTCCTTATCTGCCCACAAATGTAAATTTGCTGGTTCTTTTTCTGGCTCGTGGGCTGATGTCCTTTGAACCACACACAAGCTTTGCAGGTGGAATAATATTTCTCCACAAGAAATATTAAGAAATATTAAGCTGCAAAGAATGAAATTCCCTCCCTGTGCCAATCCATTCAGAGGGGCTCAAAGCAGGCAGATGGGTGTGTGGAGTGGTTCAATTAATTTACAAACAGCTTTCGAATTATCCTGGATTTTCTATCACAACCGTTTAGTTTTCCCCTCAGCCAGCCATAAGAAATGGGACTGTCAGAATCTGGTTTCTGCCATAAGGCACTTCCAAATCATTTAGGTTTTATGGGGGCATGATAAGAGAGGTGAAGTTTGGGGGTGAAATTTTCTTTCGGGAGGCAAAAACGCAACCGGGAAACAACCCAGAAAACAACAGGTTATGGGAAGCGATTAAAACCCCCCTAAAAACCAGAATTTACCAGCGAGCAGAGGGTCAGGGAAGAGGAATAACAAAGCATTTCTCCCAGGCAGGTGTCCCTTATCAGGAGCATTCCAGCCTGCCCTGTTTGTCACAGGAACCGGCCGGAGCGGGAGCGCTCGGAGCCAGGGAATGATTCAGTGGGGCTGGGGAAGGGCAGGTGGAGCAGGTAAAGTCACCTCCAGACAGGAAGGTATAAAAGATCCTTGGGTTGCAGCTCTGAGGCCACTCGTGCACTGGGAGCTCCTGGAGGTCACTTGTCCTGTGCCAGGAAAAAACACCCGGAGCTGGGACAACAAGAGGACACTTTTATAAACACAAAAAAAGCCCCTCTGGAGAGAAGACTCTTCAGGGGTAGAAATCAAGAGCCCAGAACATGCTTTCCTCCTTCTAACAGCACCCTGAACAGGTATTTATTGACTTTAATCTGCTCCACAGCTCTTGCCTTGCTGGGGGTTCATTGCTCTGAGTTAAAGATCCCATCAGGGGACCATCAGAACAGTGCTGGCCACTGGCCTGATGGAGCAGAACCCTTGTGATCTCCTTGGTTTTATGGGGTAGAAAGAAGTTTCCTAGAACTTGGAAGAAGTCCTGAATGACTTAGTTTTATTTATTTACTTAGTCGTATTTATTTAGTTAGTTTTATTTATTTACTTACTTGTATTTATTTACTTTGGTTTGTTTATTTGCTGAGTTGATGTGTTTCTTCTCATTATTTACTGGTGTTTCTGAAACTGAAGTTTCTGGAAAGCCCAGGTAAAAATATTGGTAATAGGAGATAAATAGCAGAAAGGTCTGGGAGAGACTGTGGGGGTCTGAATGAAAAAAAAAAACATCAGAAAACCAAACAAAAACCCCCAAACCCCAAGAAATTCTGTTAAAAAGACACAAGCAGAGGGGGGAGGCTGAGCATGAATCCAACCTGTCTCCTGCCTCAGCTCTGTTCCCTCCTCTTTGTGTCTCTCCAGTTTAATTCAATTATCTGTGTAATTACCTGAGCCAGGTGCCAACATAACACCGAGGTGCCAATATAAAATAACCAGCCTCTAAATTTATTAAAACTAAGGCACATCCACAACGTCACAACCCTGCTTAGGGAAGTTAAAACGCAGGCAAGGACTTGTCCCCTCGTTTAAAAGCAGCTGCTGTGAGTAAACTTCAAGTTTACTATATCAGGATGTTGCTCTGACACGTTACAGAGCAGTAAAAAAAAAAAAAAACCTCAACAGAACAGCTTTAATTTCATAACACGGGTTGTGAAATCGCAGCTTGTGCAAGCCCAGGCTCTCTCTTTCTGAGGTTACCTCCTGCCACTGGTTTTACTGCTCAGAATCTCTGAGAAACACTCAGGAACTGCAGAGAGCTGGATTGTAGAGGAGGGAGTTCTGCAAAACAGAAATTTAGTTAAAAAAAAAAACCAAAACCAACCAAAAAAAAAAAACCAAATAAAGAAACCCAGGGGTTTTTCCTCGTCTCTGTGCCAACTTAGGCTTGGATCTGTGATTCATCAGCATCTGCCAGGTTGTGTTAAACATGCACGGGGATCTGGAGCCAGGAAATAAAAAAATGACATTAGAAACCATTCCAACTCGCTGCAAAGTGCACAAAACTCGACTTGAGGAGAAGCTTCACCAAAGTTAACGTTTAGATTAAGAGAAGGAAAAGAAGGGAGGTTCTGAAGGCTGGTTTCAGCTCTGGCAATGCCAGCTGGGAGGGGAGAGGGGAGAACTCTCCATCCTGAAATAATGGAGATTTATTTTAGTGCAACGTGAGGAACACTTGGTCCTTCTGATCCCTTAAATTACCCTTTTTGTGGCTCTGGTCCACACACTGGGCTGCAGAGCTGTAATTACAGCCCCAACCTGGACATTTCTGGCTTGTCATCAGCAAATCTCCCATCAAGGGAGAATCAAGCCCGGCTAGTTGGGTGACACATCCCAAAAAAATGTTCCTGTCACCAGGAATTTCCTCCAGCCAAACACTTGCTTTCGGGTAAAACCACTCAGCAGCTGCAAAGCTGAGAGGGGCTGTAGGTGAAGCCGTGAGTTTGGGGTAAAAAAAACCTGAGCTGAAGGTGCTGCCGAGGCGGGAGAAAAAAATTGGAGTAATTTGGAAACCAATTTGCTGGAATTGGTGCTTCAGCCACTCCAGGCTCCTCCAGGGAGCACAGGGCAGCAAGGCTTTGGTGCTGAGCCTCCTCCTCCAGGGCTGAGCTGGGTGTCCTTAGGGAAAGCAGAGCAACAAGGAAGCAGCAGAGAATTGCCCCTGCTCTGCCCCCAAGGCCATTTCCTCCAGCCTTGCCCGCCTTGCTGTGTCACGGTGACAGGGCCAGAGGTGCTGCTGGAGGCTGAGGATGGAACAGACGGTGCCATAAAACCATTTCCTCCCCTCCCTCGGCTTCTCCCGTGACAGGGGGGGAGTTCAGATCCCGCTGTGGATGGAGATAACCTCGGGTGGTGCCTCACCCACCTGCAGCAGGACCACAGCTCAAGGCACGAAGCGCCCCAAAGAAGCTCCCCCCCGTTTCCCTCCACACCTGAACAGTGTTATCTGTCTCTTAGGCCTTGCTCTTGCTGCCACCATAACCCCTGAGGGCCTCCCAGACTAATAGATTGCCAGGGCGAGGCCCCTCATGGAGTCTTCTGCTCTCCTCCCTGCTCAGGTGTCGGGGAGCACCACCCGGGGTAGGTCTGTGTCGTGTCTCTTGGCGCCCAGAGGGAGGAACTCAGGGGGAAGGACTGCTCCCCTCTGGGATCCGTGGTGTCCTGCTGCAAAAGGCTTTGGCTCCTGGTGGATCTCTGCGGGTTCCTTGCTTCTGTGTGCAGGATTTTTGACTTCACCTTCGGGATGCAGCTTCCCACAGGCTCCCTGTGTGCTTCTCGCCTCTGGACGCAGTGGAAGCCACCAGCTCGCTCTTTGTTCCTTTGAAGGGGTTAAAGCTGGTGATGGGGGTGTCTCCACCTTGTTTAAAATGAAGGCTTGTGGTTTTCCTCTCTTCCAGAGGCTCCCAGGGCTCTGTTTCTCTCCCGGGGCTCCGTCATGTCGTGCTTCTCCCAGCTGTGGCATTCCAGCACTCCGGACTCTCCCACCAGCCCGACCCCTGCCTCTCCTGGTGAAGTCCCCATCCCCATCAGCCCCATCGTGGTGACCTCGCCAGGAGATGGCAAGAGGAAGGCCAGATCCCCCACCAGCTCCCCGGGCTCGCCCAACCCAACCTCTCCCAAGCCGACGTCCCCCGTGGAGTGCTCCATCTGCTTCAACACCTACGACAACACCTTCAAGACCCCCAAACTGCTCCAGTGCTCCCACGTTTTCTGCCTGGAATGCGTGGCCCGCCTGAGCACGGGGCTGCCCCCCAACCAGCCCGAGGACCTGCTGCCCTGCCCCTTCTGCAGGCAGCTCACCAACATCCCCCAGGAAGGCGCTCCCGCCCTGGAGACCAGCAAGGAGCTGCTGGCCACGCTGCCCCCGGAGCTGCAGCGGGAGAAGGTGCTGTGGATGGAGGGCACCAAGCTGTGCTGCCGGAGGGCCTCGGACGACGCCGAGAACCCGGAGTCCTGCATCTCCATCGACGTGGCCATGAGCAAGCCCGAGAGCCCCGAGGCCCCGCCGAGGGGGCTGGCGGGGAGGTTGTCCCGCTGCGAGGTGTGCGACGACTGGAAGCGCATCCTCCTCCTCTCCGCCCTCGTCATCATCCTCTTCTGCATCATCCTCTGGCCCGTGCAGTGCGCCCTGAAGACGGGCAACATGCGCTGCTTCACCAGGACTGTGGCCACCATGAGCAGGCCCGAGTACCTGCCCCCCAAGCCCACCACGGCGGCGGCGGCGACAGAACCCCCTTTATTCCAGTAGCGGCCCCTGGCTCTGCTGAGCTCTGCGCCCGCACCGGGGAGGAGCGGCAGGACCTGCTGCCCTGCCAGCATTCCTTGGATTGCTGGGCAGCCCCTGCGTCCCCTCCTGTGCCCGCCTCCGGGGGCTCTCCGCTGGAATGCTGCTCCAACCCGGAGTGCTGCTCCAACCCGGAGTGCTGCTCCAAGGAGCCGCCTCTGCATCCTGCTGCCAAACTCTCCATGGAAACCAGAGCTGGGAAAGCCGCGGGGAGGGTTCCAGGACTGTTTCCCTCCTGTGTGTCGCTGCCTTGGCTAGAGACCAGGTGGCAGCGGGTGCAGTTCTTCGAGCTCCCCGAGGGAATAAAGGGCTGTTTTTTCTTTTTTTTTTGGCAAATTGAAGGATCTACGTGATTATTCCTACGAGGAGCTGGGATTGGGAGGGTAAAGACATGGCTGTATAAACAGGTGAAAGACACACTTACTCCCCACGCTGCAGAGGTTTCCAGCTGTGTTATGCAGCGTGAGAGGTGTAACTGCTGCCTCCTGCTGACAGAACACGGATCCATCCCTGCTGCCTTCCTTCCCCGTGTCACCACCCTGATGAGCTCTTCAAGCAGCCATTCTACTCGTTTTTCCCAAGAAGATGCTTAAAAATCACTCATCCCCACCTGGAAGGCCGTTCTGCACCCAGGGCTGGGCTCTGTGAGGCACAGACACAGCACCACCCCGACCCTCCAGTTTCTGCATCAGCAAACTTCACTCAGAACCTCTCACCGTGGCCAAAAAGTTCCACCTTTCGACAGCTTTGCCCTCCTAATCTTCAAATGTGTCAGTATTAAGACACAGGCCAGTGGCTGACACTCTACTTTTATTTAAAGCAGTGATCTGACAGTGATTTAAGAGTCTTCATGCTGAAGGCAGCTCACAATGAATATTTTCTATTCAGACATGGATCTAAGACAGTATTGTATGCGAGTGCCATTATGTGTATGTATTAAATTATGTTTTCTACAATGCAAGGTGTCAGTCTGTAGCAATTACCCCCCGTTATCCCTTTTTTACTTGCAGTTGGAGGTGTTCCCTCAGCAGTCCAGCTGCATCCCCGGGTCATGGTGGCACGGCTGTGCTCTGCTCCATCCCAGTGCTGTGCCATCCTGCACGTTTATCCTGCAAATTCTCTCCTCCCACCGTCGGGGTGGGGTTGTCCCAGGTGAGACTTCCCTCTGTGTTCACCTGATTCCACTGGGAAAATGAGAAGCTGCAGAGCCTGCTCATCTCTCCCTCCTTCCCAGCTGGTGACAGATGCTTCCAGCCTCCCTTTCCAGAAAAAAAGCAATCTCATTTGGAATAGAAAAGGCCGAAGCAACGGCAGAAATAGCTCAGGGTTGTTGCTGTGTGGAATTCCTGGGGAAAGCTGCTGCATGTGCTGTGCCTGCACCTCCCCTGGGGTTCAGCTGCAGGCTGGTGTTACCTGTGCCAGCCACAGGAATGTTCCAGGCCCTGGAAAATCTGCCAAAGCCACTGGGCTTGACAGGGATTCTCATTTGCCTCATCCTACCTGCTCTTCATATCTTCACAGCACCAAACTGAGTGAGTTCCTGGAAAAAAAGTAACTCACCGAGGCTTCAGGCAGAGAAGGCACTTCTATTTTTCCTCTCTCTTCCATTTGGGACTAAGCCCAGCAAACAGGCACTGGGAGGGATGAAGTGCTTTGTCATTACATCTTCATTAGCACTCAGCTCCCACTGAGGAGATCCAAGGACAGGGCAGAGGGAAATAACATTTGCAGCCTCATAAAATCTACTGTTACAGTGGAAAACAGTTCCAACTGTTCCCAGTGGTCTGTCCCAGCACCCTCATGGGGGTTGTCCCTTTGCACATCCCCAGCCCACCACGGACTTGGAAATAAAGGCTGAAGGGTTTAGGTAACACACAGCTGAACCTCTCCCTCCTTATGGTCAAAGGAAGGGAAAACAGGGCCCTGAACAGCAGCATTTGGCCATGGGGACATTCAGGGTGTCCCACTGTTCACACCATCAGTCTCTTTCCCAAAAAAATCAAACTACTTAAAAGAAAGGAAAAAAAAAAAGCCTGGAGAATATTCAACATTTATTAGAAGTGCAATAAAAATAAACAGTTCTCCTGCCCCTGGGACAAAGGAGCAGAAAGACCAGCCAGGAATTACAGCCAAGGTGTGTCACTGTGCATTTGTTCAACCCTTTGGCTCAGCACTAACACCCCAACCATGCAGAGTCCTTCCCATTCCAGGGATGCAGGAGGAGACTGGGACATCAGCCCTGTGCCTGCTCTGGGGGTTCAGCACTGGCTCTGGGACCCAAAACTGCTCTGGGGGTTCAGGCATTTTATCCCCAGACCCAAAACTGCTCTGGGGGTTCAGGCATTTTACCCTCAGACCTAAAACTGCTTTGGGGGTCCAGCACTGGTTCTGGGACCCAAAACTGCTCTGGGGGTTCAGGCATTTTATCCCCAGACCCAAAACTGCTCTGGGGGTTCAGGCACTTTGTCTTCAGACCTAAAACTGCTCTGGGGGTTCAGGCACTGGCCCTCAGACCCAAGGCTCCCCCCAGAACACACTTCCAGGCTGAGGGATCCTGCAGGAAGGGTTTCTTTGGCAGGGCTTGGGGCTGGAACTGCGGGAAGCACTAAGACTTAAGAGAGCTGGGACACTCCACTCTGCAAAACACTCGTTTCCTGGCACTGCTCAGGTCACAAACACACCTAGGACAGCCCTACTCAGCAGAAACAACACTTGCCTTGTCACAGAGGCGTGGAAGGGGGTGGCAAAAAGGTCGTGGCAGAGCTGCATCGAGCTTAGAGGGGGCCCAGCTCCAGAATTCCAGCTCGGATCATCCCCCCAGGCTGCTCTCAGCCCAGTGCCCAGAGCTGTGTCCCTGCTCCTCAGCACCCAGGGGGGACCTCCCTGAGCCCAGCCTTCAGGATGCCCCTCTGTGCCCCTCGACTCTGCTGGAGAACTGGGAAGAGCAGTCTGGAGGCTGCACACGGAGCAGGGATCATTCCATGTGCTCTGGCAGCGTTGCATAGGAAATCTGGGAAGTGCTACAGCCAAAAGGAGGTGTGAGGAGAGGCATCAGCTGGGGCCAGGCAGTGCTCTCCACTTCTCACCCTCACCAGGCAAAGTTACTCCAGGATTTGGGCTTCAAACCACTTTGTAGCTTAGAAATGGGTTGACCCAAGGAAAACCTGAGAGTGCTAAGGTTTTACTGAAGCCCTGAGTGGGCAAAGACCCCGGGAAAGCTTCGAGCAAAGAGTTGTTTCCGTTCCTTTTGCGTGTAAAAAATAAGAAGTTTAAATTAAAATAGTAAAAAAAAAAAAAAAAAAAAGGCAAAAACCAAAACAACCCTGAAGCTGAGCCTTGATGCCCTAATGAATGTCCAGAGGCACTTTCACATAAATATCAACCTACTGATGCAGGGGGAGGGTGGGAGGAGATCCTTCTCATGAATAAGTTAGGATAAGGCATGTTCTTAGGTGCAGGTTCTCGGGCAGCTTCTCCCCTCCTCTCCAAATCCAAGGTGCTTGGGGGAAGGCAAGACAGGCAAACAAAACTGTCCTCAGTCGCAGAACTTGGGGAGGGTGGACGTAAACACTGGAAATCCTGCATTCCAAAAGGAGAAGGGAAGAAGGAAGGGTGGCAGGTTTACAGCTGGGAGAAAATAAGGTTACAGAGCTGAGATAGTCCCACGGTTCCCTGATAGAACAGCCTGAAAAGCTGCTATTAATTGATAATATTGAATACTGAGAATATTGGGATTTCCCCCCTCCCTGGGAACATCACAAACGCATTCTCCCCCAAATTCCACCCCACATTTGCAGGCAGAGCCTCTGAGACGTGCCCAGGAAACAAATTGTGGGAGGCCTGAAGATTGGATTTTTGGGGGAGTTTCAAACCACGACACTGAGCTGCAGAGGAGCTGCTCGGCCGTGGCACAAACCAGTGCGGTGACACTCTGGGGTGACCCCAGGGGGACATTCCTACCTGTGGAGCCTCCACACAGCTCCTCTATCGCCCTGAATTACTCATCCCTGAAACCTTTGGGCTTTTGATGTTGAGGTTCTCGTAGAGGACGGAAGCTGACTCCTCATCCACCCTGTCAGGAAGCAGAGCCCTGTCATTAACAGCCTCACCACTCTGGATCTTTGCCCAGAGGCTGCTGGCCAGTGGGAATGGCCCAGCCAAGCTCCCTTTTGCCCTCCCCACTGTTCTCATTCCCTGTTTTCTCCCCCTCTGGCTGGGCCACCCCTCCTTGGTTCAAATGCTTGGGAGTGGAGCCTCTAAATGACACGTGTCCCCCCCCACCTTCAACCATAATCCCTCTCCAGCACTCACAGGTGTCCCATTACTTGGGGCAAGGGCAAAATCATAATTTGGGGTAATTTATCTCTGCTTATGTAAGGAATTCACGCTCCTTAACCCACATTCCCTCTCCACACAGACTCAAATCCACCTCTCTCTGCTCTTGTCTCATCTTCTTTCAGATTAAAGTGGCAGTGGCACAGTTTCCCTCTCCAGCTGATTGCCCAGAGCCATTCTCCAGAGCCAAGGAGAACAGGACACTACTCTCTAAAGGAGTATTTATATATATATATATCTTTATATATATAAAGATCTAGTTCCTCCTCCCCTTTCCAAGATGCACCAGCAAGGTGCTGCTGACAGTGGGGTGGGACCACCTGTTTATTTGGGCCATTCCCACACGATATCCAGCAACTGCTCAGGATTCAGGTGTGGGAAAGACACTCTGGAAAAGGACAAACACCGGGAGAGACCCTCAGCTTACCCAGAGGGGGTCCGTGGGGAGGGGGGCTGCCCTTTGGCTCTGCCCTTTTCCATGGGAGGGTAGCCAATGTTCAAGTAGTCTCGTTCTTTCCTTTTATTCCTCTGGAAGAGAAAAGCAAAGACAATAAAACCCCACTTCAGGCAGGTGGAGAAAAAAAGCTTTTCCAAGGTGGGGATTGACTCAACCTCGGAGGTCTTTCCCGACCTCAACGACTTCGGATTTGAGTTCCAGGGAAAAGGGGGGATGGTGTTCTCCTCCAGCCAAGCCCAAAGGGGACATTCCCTCACCTCTTCTTCTTCAGTAAAACCCCACTTCAGGCAGGTGGAGAAAAAAGCTTTCCAAGGATCCCCTTTACAAGGCAGGGATCGATCCCAGCTTGGACTCGACCTCGGAGGTCTTTCCCGACCTCAACGACTTCGGATTTGAGTTCCAGGGAGAAGGGGAGACGGTGTTTCTCCTCCAGCCAAGCCCAAAGGGGGAGGACATTCCCTCACCTGTTCTTCCTCCAGCCTCTTCTGCTCGGCCTCGATGAACTGCTGCACCGCCATGTACACGAACTTGTACTGAGCCTCCGTCTGCACCATCCCCGAGCGCTGCCGCCGCACCATCTGGATCGTCTTGGGGATGTCGATGTCGCAGTCCAGGCCTGCTCCAGAGCCAGCACAATGATGGTTAGGGAAGGAAAATGAATGCCAGGAATGGTTTCCCTAAGGCAGTTTGAAAGTTCCGGGTCTCCGGCTGCGCGACGGCGTCGCGGAGCACCGGAATGTTGAGGGTGTTGTGGAGGGGTTTGGTGTGTGTCTGGGACTGAGGAAAGGGTTATCCCTGCCAGAGGAGGAAAATGGGCTGGGAAGGGCTGAGGAAGGGCTGGGGAAGGGATGAGGAAGGGATGAAGAAGGGATGAGAAAAGGATGAGGAAAGGATGAGGAAGGGATGAGGAAGGGATGAGAAAAGGATGAGAAAGGGCTGGGGAAGGGATGAGAAAAGGATGAGGAAAGGATGAGGAAAGGATGAGAAAGGCCTGAGGAAAGGCTGGGGAAAGGCTGAGGAAGGGCTGAGGAATGGGTGGGAAAGGGCTGAGGAAGGGCTGAGGAAAGGATGAGGAAAGGATGAGGAAAGGATGAGGAAAGGATGAGGAAAGGATGAGGAAAGGATGAGGAAAGGATGAGGAAAGGATGAGGAAAGGATGAGGAATGGGTGGGAAAGGGCTGAGGAAGGGCTGAGGAAAGGCTGAGGAAGGGCTGAGGAAGGGCTGAGGAAGGGATGAGGAAGGGATGAGGAAGGGATGAGGAAGGGATGAGGAAGGGATG